TGTAAAATAAATTAATAGCATGTTGCTTTATTTAATTTTATTTACCATCAGTTGCTATTTAAGACTAAACGTTTTTTACCAAATATAGAATTCAATAACCAATATTTTGTTCAGGTTAAAAGCTATATATCAACAAACATGTGCTTTATATGTATTGTCTTTTAAAATTGAAATAAACAACAACATGAACTTGTATTTTTGCAATTTTTCTTGTTTTTTTCTTGTTCTTGGTGTGGTAAGTTAAGAGTTGTTCATTTTTGTAATCAGTTTACTATATCAAAACACACTTGTGGACATCAGGTTATAAATTTTTTCTTATAGCTTATTATGCTACAATGCTTTGTAATCTTTTATTACTATACATTACCAATGCCAATCTAAATCAGCTCTTGTTTACAATTGCTATTAATTTGAGAGTGATTTAAATTATCTGGGCTAGCTACAACAACCAATAAGCAATATTCTCAAACTTAAAATGTTTTAGTGGTGTGTACAATTTATAAATGGGAATAATAAGTGTAAAAATTCTGAAAAAAATAAAGTATTTTTAAAAAAATATTTTTCTTGCTAAATGATAGGATTAATGGGAACTTAATTTGAAAAAACTTATACCAAGTTAATAATATTTTATTGATATTACTTGGTAAAATTTTTAAACTGTTAGTTTTAAAATTTTACCAAGTAATATAAATAAAAGCATAGTAAAGTTTTACCATCTGGTTTATTTATAGTTTTAAAATTTTACCAAGTAATATCAATAAAAGCATAGTAAAGTTTTACCATCTATATTGTACAAAAATGGATAAAAAAATCTTTTTTTTTGTCATTATTATTTGGCAATTACTTTATTTCACTTTTATTATTCAATACGTTTTTTGACATTTGTTTTGATTTAAACTTAGGCGCAAAAGCCTCTCTTTCAAAATTGGCGAATCAGATTGCGCATATCTCTGCCTATTCTGAGCCTGTATAGGGTTTCAAAATATGCAGCCCGGTTTACGGTAAAATAAACATTGTTTAGTTTATTTAGTAGCCTATAAGCAGCTGCTGCGGTTTTCAAAAGGTCTAATTTTTTTTTTTAAGTTTAAATTAGTTTCAAAAGGGCGAAAACCTAATTTTTAATTTGTTTTAAAAGACTATTTTAAATCGTCTATGGTCATCGTCTTTCTTTAAAATCTTTAAGTCAGTGTGTTATTTATTAACAACAACTCTTACCCAAATGAAAACTAACTTTTTTTTAAAGAACTATTCATAAAATTTTTGTCTTGAATAGAATAACAGAAGCATCATTGAAGCAACATAAGCTACTGAAAAGACACAATTGTAGCCACATAAGCTACTGATGGCGGACTGTCTATTGCCCATCTTCACGTTAAATTTTATAGGAAATTCTTAAAAATATAACAAATTATTTTAAATGTACTATTTTATACGAATATGTTAGAATATTACTTGAGCTGATTGGCCACCAAAGCAACTGAAAAGAAGGCTGTTGCCAATAACCTTCTTTTCAGTAACTTAGGTCCCCAAGTAATAATAAATGCTGCGTGCTCCATAATTTGTGGTGAACAGATTTTTAAGTTTATGGTTAACCGGCTTTTCCTTGCCCTTAACGGATATTGTTTTATAGCATTTAGTTTATCTACCCTCCCCCGGATACCAAATAAATAATGCATAATAAATAATTGATCATAAAGGTGAAAGGTTTACCACAAAATGGGTGAGTTTTCCGACATCAGTTAGAGAAAAGGAGCGATGTTAAATGCTTTTACGCGGGGTTCTGAACCGTACATACTTCTTGTGGGCACTTCAAAAATAACTTAAAAAGTAACAAAAAAATTAAAACTATGCCCTACCCTGACCACATGTAAATGTTCAATTAGGACCAATAATCTACTTTCGCTTTAAGCGAAAAAATAATTTTGCTCCTTATAACTCAAGGGCACTCGCCGTCGCTGTCCTACTTTTACAAATCCATTCTATTAACTATATTAGCCCCTACTTGTATAATTTGTAATGCCCCGCCGCAAAAACGGCCCAGATACATCTGAATAATTACGAAAAGTATAACCCAGATGATAATCATCAACTAATGCTTTTTAATAAACTACCTACCTTAAAAAATTGGCTTTGTTTTTTAAAGAAGTAAATAATATAATTTACATTTTGCTTACTTACTAAGTAAAATAAGTATTTGAAAGAAAAACTTTTCTTTTATTTCTAATAGTAAATCTTTTTTATTTTCAAATTACTTTTATGTAAGTTGCCTTTGCAAAATAATTACTTTTACACATGTAAGTAATTTATTTTATGATGTACTTTTATTTTACTTTTTAAAGTGTTACATTTTTCAAACATTACATTTACATAACGTTATCTTAGAAAAGAACTTTTTTACATATAAAAAGTAAATTATTTTTTAATGAAAGTATCGCGAATAAGTAAAATCGAAATTACTTTTCAAAGTAAATTACTTTTTAAGGACTTACCTAAAAAAGTAATTTACTTTTACAAGAAAAAGTAAACGACTTTTAAAGTAATTTATTTTTACTCGTAAAAAAAATTACTTTTTCTAGTAACAGTTACAAGTTTAAGTAATTAAATTTATGTAATTAAGTTTTACTTGTAATATAATTTATGTAATAAAAAAAATAATTACTTTTAAACGTAAGTGAATTATATATTTTAATATGATTTATGTAAGTAATTTACGCTTAAAAGTAAATCGCGTTTTTACATCAAAATAAGTAAAAGTGCTATCCCTATTGTATATGATGACGTTTTCATTTTAGTACTAATAGGAAAGAAAACAAGGAAGTGATCAGAAATGTCACTTTTAAATATGCCTTTTTTAAGAGATTTGTTAAATAAATTGGTTGTAATTATATTATCAATCAGGGAAAACGTTGATTTCAAAATCCACCGTAAAGAAGCAATAACAAACATAAAAGTAAAACTAGACTCAAATATCAACCCTGTAACTATTAATGGAGTTTTTAGAGGTTTCATATCACGAGCGACCAAAATTTGCTCCTAAAAATACATTAACAACGAGATTCAGTTTACAATAGATACGTTTGTTGAAAATGGTTGTAAGAGATCAAACCTAGAAACAATTGCGGCGAATTACCTTTCAAGTAAAAACAATCCTAACAAAAAAGTTGAAAAAACACAAGAAAATAATGTTGCAATAATAAAACTACCTTGGCTACCAACACTTGGACCGAAACTACGCAAAGCACTAAAAACATATAATGTCAAAGTTACTTTTACAACACCACCTAATTTAAAAACAATTCTCTGTAGAAACAAATCTAGATTAATGCTAATCAGCAACCCTGAGATGTACAAGCTTACATGTTCGTGTAAGGGAATTTATATTGGAGAAACAAAAAAGACAATTTTGCGAAGAAACTTAGAATACCAAACTTTTAAATGCTTCAGCTATGTGAAGAATGTTTTGAGCCGCGTTTGTATCAGAAAGTTGCTAGAGCACATTCACATTTTTAAAAAAACTTCTTGCATTCATTTTACTTGAACTAGCCCCATGACATGGGTTCAGTTGAATGTGGAGGGTAGCTAGCCACTTAATAGCTTCTACTTAAGCAGTTTTAAATATCTTTTATGTTAGTTGTTAGTCCATCCATTGCTATTATGCTATTGAAAAAACTCTTTTACCCATAAAAAGATTATATTTTAGCAAGGTTTGATCAGTTGAAAACTGCTGGATTTTGAATCAAATTGTTGTTGCGGTTTTTATTCAAAATAAAATAAGAATAGGGATCCAAATGAAATATTTTAGCGCTAACAAGCTGCTGAGTAAAATAAAAATGCAAAAGACATCAATAAAAAAATCTCTTAATAGACGAGTGTTACGAGTTATTTTTTTATCAAAGTACGCATAATCTTTATTTCAAAAAATTGAAAAGAGCTAATTGCTCCGTTAATTTAATCATCACCCTCTACCTCTTTTATAAAATCCTTATAAATTTTTTTCTTTTCTTAATTAAATAATTATAGTCATAGTATAAATAAACATAAAAATACAAAGTCAATTTATCGGGTTATCCTTTCTTAAAAGTATTATATCCGTTAAAAAAACAAGTGTGTTTAAACTTTCTGTACAAGGTGTACATACTTTTAAGGAAAGGAAGGAACGGACCTAAAAGTACGCATGGCAGCGGGGGAGGATAGGGTAAACAAATTTTTCCATTTTTTAGCGTACGTACTTTACAGAAGAAGCCTTAGCAGTCAATATTTATGTCGACAAGATTACAAAAAAATAACTAAATAAAACTTAAGTTAAGTTTGGCTTCGGAAAAAAAAAAAAGTTCAAACAAAGCACATAATAGTTGTGTATAAAAGTTTATTTACAATTACAAGAAGTACACAATATGCAAAATTTGTTTGAAAATCCTCTACGCTCCTCTTGTAATAAACATACATTTACTTGTTGATTGCAAATTAGACATATTATGTCCAATCAACAAGTTGACACTGATGTGAATTATGTGAAGCTATAATAATTATACATGTTAATCAAGTTTTAGTCAAAATTTAATAATATTATAATTGTATAATAATATACTATAATACTGTAGTAATAATAAATTACTATAATAATGTAAAAATTATAATTTTTTTTTTTTTTTTTAAATTTGTTATTTAGGTGCACCAAGAAAACCTAACGGTCTTGTCGTAGAGCACCGCGGAAGTGCATTTTAACTAGGAAGTTCACGCTTCCTTCCTTACCGTAACGCAAAATATGTCCAAAGCTCGTTTCTAACCTGGATCTCCTGCTTATAAAGCAAGCGCTCTAACCTCTGCGCTGTGTATAAAATTGGTGCCCTAGTATTCTCTGCTAAACCTTTAAAGCTTTGCTTATATAAGATATATTTTTTTGGATTTTAGAGCAGGTTAAAGAATCAGAAAGTACCTATTAAAAAACAAAATCAATTTTATATATTAAATATTTCTTATGATTTAGTTTCTATTTACAAAAATCGTTTACATAAACATTAAAAAAAGTATATCAATTTTTACCTTAAATAATAAAATTCAAATAATCTTAAAAAATAGCTTCAAAAAACATGTTACAAAACGTTTTATTGCATAACCCTAAACCCCAAGAAAATTAGATCGATTTTGACGTGAAGTTCCGTCTTTCGCTATCGAACTACGCGAGTTTGAACGAGATATATTTCGCTTTTTAGGCAATTGAAGAGATTGAAAGGTAGTTTTTTTCATTAATGCTTGTTTTAACCCATCATCTAGACCTGGTATATTCATTTCACCAAAAACCTTTTTGAAAAATAAAGAATCATCATTTTTTATGAAAGATTTAAAATAACGTAAAATACGTAATGCAAAATAATGTAAAATTATGTGAAATTTTTTTATTATATAAAAATAAAGTAAAACTTACGCTTTACGCAAATTAGCAAAATTTAAAAAAAAAATACCTCTATAATAGCTCCGTCAGGTAGCTTTAAAAAATGCCTGTATAATTCTCTTAAACCATCAAGATAAAGGGTGTGAATAGATATGTGAGTTGTGATTTCTTTCGTGCCTGTTTTTTCACCAGACTCGTTCCAGTCATTTATCTACTCAATTAATTAAAAATTAAGCTTATAGACAATAAATATATACCTATACATTCTTTTAATGTAAATAATAAAAACTATTTATTAACTATTGCCTAGCTTCCAAAAACAAACCTCTTCTTCCTCCCAAACATAATCATACACTGCAGTTTTTCTTCTTTCTCCCTCTTCCCCTCTCCATTGTTCAGCTTTTCTACATACATAGTTAAGTTCCTCATTTGAAATTTCCAAATCATGAGGTATGAAGAAAGCCTCCTCTTTATATTGCAATCTAAATTTGTATAAATATATCTATACTTCTATACTTTATCATTAGTCAAAAATAGGGTTTCGTTATAAAGCAATGCAGTGTTATAAAAAATAAAAAAATTTGGCATAAGTTCTTTAATGCAGGACTATTTTATGCTTTCATATTTTGATAAGAAACTTTTTTGACAACATTTTGCTTCTTTGCAGCCTCTCATATTTGTCATTTTTGCAAAAAAAAAGCTTTTGGAAAATGTGCAATTACAAAATCTGCTGACTCATACCGTAGTCAGAACAGTAAAATTACAAAATCATATCCAAAATTGCTAATAAACTGTGTTGAGTAGATTTTTTCTATAAATTGGGAATTTAATGTCTACATCAGTGTCTGATTATTCTCAATTCGATTAAAAGTTTGAAAAGTTATCTGAAAGTTTAACTGATTATAGTTTTATTTTGTTACAATTCTACGCTTGAAATAAAGTAAAAAATACATTTTTCAAATAAATTTTCAAAACAATTATTTCTTAACTGGGAAATAAACTTCCAGCTCATAAATGACTAATATTAAAAGCTGTTTTATATTAACAACCATTGATAAAAAAAATGTTTTAGTAGAAATCACTGTAACACTGTCTTAATAATTATATCTACTTTTAAAGGCAACACTTATTGAATTAAGTCACATTAAAAATTGCAAAAATGAAATAATGCACTATGAAACTAATGAGAAAAAATATTTACTTATTAATGAGTATATATAATGCCGAAGAATTAAGGAGTATATATAATGCTTTCAGTTATTTAAAAGGATGTTTTTAATTATATCAGTACTATCAAAAGAGATATTCGAATATCTACTGCTTGAAAAATTCACAAAAAGGGATGAACTTAACAACAAACTTTTACAATATACATATAAATAAAAAATTATAACTATCATTATTAATTCATTAAAACAAAATTAAAAATGGTGAAAAAAATAAAAACAATACACCAATTCAAACAATATACAGTTACAAACAGTCATGCACTACACAATATATTTTGATAAAACTCCTTACTTATGTATTTTAAACAAATTCAACTTATAGTATAACTTTTTATATTAAAAATATTTGATGAATCTATTAAAGATGAAAAATTGAAGCATGGTAAATTAGTGGAAATGATGACAATGTATATATTTAATTATTTATAAATATAAAAAATAATAATAATAAAAGAAAAACAATGTTTTTAAAGATTTTAAAAAGTGAAATAAAGTTTATTTTCAATTGTGATATATAACATTTAGTTATAGACAATTTTCATAACAGTGAATAACTTTTAATAAAATAATTAAAATAGATAAATAAAAATACCTCCAATATACATCCATAAGCCTGCCATTATTGTGAAGACGCAAAAAATACATGTAAAGCAATGAACATGCACAAAACATTGTCACAAAATATAAAAATGATGTTAAAGCAATACTAATAAATAAAGTAACATTGTCATTATTATAAAATTGGTTAAAATGCCAATACAATTTAAATCCGTCACCAATTGGATTATCACCACCAAGGTTTCGAAATCTAGAAACATAAAACAATTCCTTTTATTAGTTTTAAATTGTAATGAACACAATAAATTCAGTGCCCTTTAATATTTAACTACTCAAAAACTTTTTTACACACGGAGGCGAAAATGTTTTTATTTGATTTTAAAAACAATAGGTATTATTATTATTTTATAAGGTTTACAAATTGGATTTGTATAAGCATGAACGTGTGTCATTCTAGTTTAAATAAATGTCCTCTTGTAATAAAATTTATAGTTTTAGAAAACATTGACATTTATATCAGTTGTTTAGCCATTTTTAGATGTTTATTGGATCTCCTCGGATTAGTCTGTATCTTATGGTTGTCATGTTAATTTTTAATAGTCTTTAGTGATATGTAAGATAATGTAATCGACAAACTAATTTAAATGCTCTTCTGGGTGTATTTTCAATTTGTTGTGAACCGAACAGGTGTTGGTTGTCGTTGTTATCAGAATAAAATAAGTGAACAAATATTAGTTGAAATAAAGTTTAAGAAATTCTTTTACAAAATCCTTCTTTTTCACAAGTTGACATTTCAAAATTGACCAGTATTTCTTGATCCTCAGTTGGATTCTTTTTGAAATGATTTAAACAAAACAAATCTATTGAAAGATTGTCTATATGTATTTGAGATGCTGGAATTTAAAAAAAAAAGAATTTAAAGTTAAATATAAGACAAAATATATCATTCACTTCAAAAAAGCAAAGCTGTGTCAGTTACAGAGTGATCTTGCAGGAACATTTAAATGCAGCCTTTATTATTCAGCTTTGATAGGAAAAGTATTTAGATCTCAAGAATATTAAGCATATCATAAAAAGAAAACTCGCAAAGTGATCCATTTATGAAGAAAACAAAGCAATTCAAAAAAGCGATATAAATTTATAAATCAAGAAAAATTGTGCATTATTGAAGACAATGAAACCTATCGCAAAAAGAACTTTTCTCTTGTTACTGATTAGAATGTTGCTAAGCCAGCATCATTTTTATCAGTCAAAAGGTAGATGTTGCCAAAAAATTCAAATATTTTCAAACTGAAAAATTTGCTCCCAAGTTTTTTATATAGCAAGTAGTTTAATCCAGTGGTTTGAAAATTACATCATACAATACTCATAAAACTTTGATCATGGATTTGCATACAAAAGATTATTTAAAGAAGCGCCTTTTGCTATTTATTAAAAAACATCATATGCCCTCAATATTTTGACATTGTAATCAAAGCAAGCATCTAGCAGATAATGACAAGTAAATATATTGACAAAAATATTTGGTTTTTATCTAAGCGTAAAATAAAAAATAGAAATAGTTATTGAAATAAATAAATTGTTTGTATCAAAAAGTTACAAAAATCTATTTAGTTGTATTTGAGTAATTAACAATTAAAGGGTACTGAATTTCAATTTGTTTAACCAATACCAGACATATACAGATATCAGATATAGATACATGTAAACATCAATTACATATAGATACCAGATACATATAGATATAAGATACATATAGACATCAATTACATATAGATATCAGAATTTTTCTGTTATATCAAGTTTAAATAAATAAAAAAAAGCATTATAAATGCCTTTTCTTATCTGATCATGTCGAAACATTCAAGATTTAAATCATGGATATTTTAAAAAAATCTTAATTTATCTCCATATGATGAAAAAGAACTTGGTTACTCTGGTGAACAGAATAAATAATGAAGTTTCATGTCTTTATACTTTATATTTCTAGATTATATTTTTTTTATTCGAAGTTTTGAAAAATAAATCTTTTAACTATCACTTTCTGATGGTACATTGTTAGCTTCAGGTAAATCAATGGTCATCATATATAAATTATTTGCCATGATTTGCATTTAATCCCCAAATATATATTCATATATATATAGACATACAAATATTCACACACACACACACACACACACACACACACACACACACACACACACACACACACACACACACACACACACACGCATATATATATATATTTATAAATATATATATATATATATATATATATATATATAAATATATATATATATATATATATATATATATATATATATATATATATATATATATATATATATATATATATATATATATATATATATATGTATATATATAATGGTCGTACTTTTTGAAATAAGATATCATAGTTTTACTTACTGTTGAGAGCAATATTGTAAGCAGAGTCTACCTGAATTTTATGTTCACTTCCTTTTTATTAGGTTTACAAAAAAACTAATATAAAGTTCAATTATATTAATTTATAATTTACTTGCCTTTTAATCACCCTTACCATTCTACTAAACGACTTATCCTATTTGTCAAAGTCAATTTTATTCCACTAACTAATAAGTTTTGTCCACATCTTATGCATCATTTGACATTATTTTTTGACATTACTCTCATAAAAATCTTTTAGGAGAGAGATCTTGTGATTGGGGAAGCTAAATCATTTTATTTAATATTTGATTGTTCTCGAACTCAGTCAAACAACTTAAACAAGTTTTCGAAAAATATGTTTTAGATTTATGCTTTAAGTTATTTTCTTCTGAAAAAATGAATACCTTCTCCTTAACCCATCTTTCCGAAGGTGTGGCATAAATTTTAGTAGCATTCTAACTATGACAGCCCCACATCTTAACACTGCATCCACCATGTTTTACAGTTAGAAAGACACACTATTGAATAATTTCATAAATTCATTAGTTTTAGTCATTAGAAGCAAAAGATTTAAAACTTTGACACGCCGGTTTGCGCTTAAAGTCATTGATGGTTCATTTATTATGTACTTTTGCCCACCTTAGCATTTTTATTATTCTTATGATTTTTATTAAAGCATTTTAACCAAAATGCTTTTAAATTATTTAATAGTGCAAAAATAAATATAAAAATTAGTTAAATAAGAAATAGTATTTTTAAAAAACCCATTTAAATAATTATGAACAGTAGTGTATATATATTTACCACTTATTAATAAAAACCATATCTGCTCGTTTTTCATATTTCTCTGTGGGCTTTCATTGTTCAGTCTAGTTCAAGCGCCGCAGATTACCTGCATCAAGTATAGCAAAAATAGTATGGCGAATACTATTATGACTATATTTTCAACTGAAAACTGACCATTTTAGGTTTAATTTCAGCTATATAAACTTTTTTGAAATAGTATAACCTGCTTACTAACTGTAACTTAATTTTTTGACAATCTTTATCTGAGAAAATGCATTAAGTTTTTATAGTCTTTAACTTGTTTCCTCTAAAATTTGTTTTGAATAAGGCAGTGATTTCACTCATAAAGATGTACTTGTGTGATCTTTCACAAGGTATATATCATAAGAGATATAACTTTTTTACAACCTCATATTCCTGTATGTTAGTTTTATGAATAATTACTTAAAACCAAAGAAACAAATAATTTCAATATCTTTTGAAAAAAGTTTACCCCAAATAAAAACATCAAACTGTGTGTTATAACTTAATAATGTACATTGTTTTATAGTAGCATGTCTAGTCACTAACTATTAGAGTTACAAGAGTATAGCATATGCTTTGTATTGTCTATATTTATGATTAATATACTCCAGTGCATCACTATCTGTTACTTAAAATAAATCTAGACTGATAATTTTTTTTTTTTTGCAGACTGAATACAGTTCCTGCAGCACTTTTTTTGCATGTTCTGCGCACTGGTCACTTCTTTGTATCTTCAATGCTGATGGTTTTTGATTCCAAATTTTCTCCAATACCTGTAACCCCTTCTTGTAAGGTTTCAATATTTGTGACAAGTTACAAATACTGAAACCTTACAAGAAGGGGTTACAGTTATTAGAGAAAATCAAAGTATAAGTTTGCTGATCAATTTTGCAACAAGGTATACAAAATAGTCTACCTTGTTGCAAAATAGTCTACCTTGTTACAAAATAGTCTACCTTGTTGCAAAATTGATCAGCAAACTTAAACTTTTTCCAGTCATGTGAAATAAATCTGCAGATTTTCTGTAATGTTAGCCTTGTTTTAGGTATAAGAACAAAAGCAAGATTGGCAAAAGCAGCTCGAATGTGCATTACAAATATTAGGAATTTTTTAAAAGTTAACAAATGGAAAATGTCCTTTTTCTTCATAGAACATGAACACAACTGCCAAATGATCCAACAATTTCATGCCATCTCTCGAGCCTGACTTATTGACAATCACTTCTGAGATTCCTCATAGCTGTTCATCAACTGAGGTACAAAATATACTCAATTTATGGAGACTTGGTGCTTGCTCCGATTTCCTCATCCATCACCACACATAGATCTCTATCAAGCACACAATGCTGGCAAGAAATAAACAACGGTTAGTTAAAATCCTTTGCTGAAAATATTTGCTAAAGCTTTACAACAACACCATTCTTTTTACCTTTGTTAACACTGGTTGTGCCAGCTACTACCACCTTCACAGCACTGCATAAGTTATATTCCTCAAGAATTATATTAAGTTATATTCCTCAATTGCCGAAATTCCATCCGTAATACTTTCTGCCTTTCCATTATTCAAGCACAGTACAGTTAATTTTGCTTTTTTTAAATATATTTATATTTTTTATTTTTTTATTTTAGGTGCCCCAAGAAGTCCTTACAATCTTATCAAAGAGCACAGTGGAAGAGCATTTGAAAGGAAGTTTATGCCTCCTTCCTTACCAATGTTATAAGTCTTGCCCAGATGTGGTGACAAACCACAGATCTCTAGCTTCTGAGGCAAGTGTGCTAACCACTGTGCTACAGCTTTTCTTGTTGATACTGTAGTTAAAGTCACAAAGTTCATGGCAACTTTACTATTGTTATATTTTCTTTTTGGTTGGCAAGTATATTCATTATCCTCATCGTTTTTATATTCACTTTTTATAACTTCAGACTTATTCAACTCCTTATCATTATCATTAAATAAGAGATTGTATGATACTGATAAAGATGACTTATTAAGTAATTTTCTTCTAAAAGGATGAATTCTTTGCCTGTTTTTTTATAGGTGGTATAACCAACTTTTCCTAAACTTTTTACTTGTAGATAATA